GAGCAACATTGGATAAACCGTGATGTGAGATTCTGACTGGAGTACTGGACAAGACCACAGTCAGGAGGTCAATAGTGAGAATTGAAGTTGAAGTTAATCCTAGGTGCAGGGATTTTATCACAGCCCACTTTAAACAGTAAATATTGTATTCTCTTGAAAATGAGCTATTCTGTTTTCATCTAAACAGTGTGTCTTTTAAAAGTATTAAGTAGTGACACCTATTTCCCAGCTGATCGTTGCTATGGCTACCCACCTTGATTTTGAACATTAGTTTTTGTTACAGACCCAAAAGTAAAACAATTGTCCCTCTTAGCCCACCACTGCCATCTAGTGGTTAATACATGCAATGAACACACATTCTGACCACAGTGGACAGCAGGGGATGCGGCAGGGAAGGGCAGGGAAGGGATGGATGTATGTGGCTTTCCCACAATATTACTTAACAAAAAGGCTTTCTAAGACCATTGCAAGGACACGAAGTCTCTCAAAGTACAAAATTTTTCTTGCATTGGTTTATATACAGTGAAAATCAGAAAATAGTAGACAGTATGGCAATAGATTTGAGGAAATTTATTTCCAAGGTCCTCAGTGCAGCTGAAGAAAATGTGAAATGAAAAGCACTGAAAACAAGAGACATATGATGTGAAAAGTGAAAGCTAATAACTAAAAACGTAGTGCTTTCAGTCCACTGTGAGAGATGCTGAGTTTATATAGCCAGTGGCTGAGGCACTGAGAGAGGCTTTGTGGAGAAATGAACACTTAAGCACAATGGAAATATGTTTTATTTTAAGTGCAACGCTTGTAGTTTTAAGAAGAGATTAAAGGAAAGTTAGACTAAAGCCAAGAGGCCCAGAGCAGTTCTCATGATGCCAATGAGGTGGAAGGGAAGACTCCTAAGAAGTGGCTGTAGGAGGCAGAGGGCTTCCAAGCATACCGAGAAGGTGGAGCAGCTCGGTTCAGTAGATGAAAGGGGTGAGGAAGCTTCAGAAAGAGAATAGCAAAGTCAGGTTTTAATAAAGATGCCTAGTGTGCTACACCCCTAGCTCCGTCCTCTGAGGGAGAATACTAACGGACAGATGATGCCAACAGGTCGCCGTTGAGATACCCAAGCACGTCTAGTTGTTATCACAGCTCAGGTGGTATATTCAAACCAAGCTCGGGAAAGAAACCTGAGCTAGAGAAAAGAGATCCGTATTACTTTTTTTCTCCTTTTATATGCTACCTAGATTAACCTTGGATTCCAAATTGCCTATGTTCATCTCTCCAAAAGGAAAAGTGCGATTTACATTTACCAGAGAGATTATTTGAAGTCAGATATATAGAGGATAGAGAAGGATGAGTGGGGGATATTTGGGTATGAACATTAATTCCCTGAGGCTAATGCATTGGAAAGTAAATTAGAGCCATTATAGATTATAGTTGCCCTGGGCATCCTTTCATCATAGTAAGCACACTTACCTTTGTCCTGTCAAGCCTGCAGAGCCATAGGAGAGGTTCAAGCAGTGAGTTGGCATCTCTGACATAGTTCCTCAGCCCAGATAGCAGGAATCCTCCTTGAACCCGATGTCCTCTTTGCTGCTCAAATCATTTAGTTACCTCCTGAGTTTGCTTTTGTGGCTCCAATTGTTTCGCTCTGGAGTCCAGCCATCGTTTCCTAAAGTCATCATAGCGCGATTGCTTTAGCTTCCCGGAAGGTCTTTGCCATCTAGTCTACATGAAAGCAAATTCATCTTAAGGTGGAAAACTTAATCCTATCATCCTCTGCCTGAATACTTGCACCCCCATAACCTACAGTGTTGCCCTGTCCTCTCCCACCATTGCCCAGCGTTTGTCCCACTGACATTTATGGTGTTTGCATGCCTGGAGTGCTTAATGTACCTCACAGTGACCATTTCAATCAAATGTCACTTCTTTCAGAAAGCCCCCAAGCCCTTTCAGATTCGTCAGATTTTAGATTAAAGTGGGATTTTCTATTTACTGTATGAAATGTTTTCCCAAATTTGTAGTTCATTTTGTCCTCAGCTTTCTCCCCTAGACTGAAAGAACCATGAAGCCGTCCGCTCTCCTTCTGCACCGTTAGTTCTCTTTAGCACAGGCTAGACACAAATCAATGAGCTTGGTTTCCTAGCTCAACAGAATAAGTCCTTCGATAAGTGGCCGAAGTCGAGAGGAAGATTAATGGTGGGGGTAGGATGTCCAGATGTTAACCTAATGTTTTCAGTTGTGGGGAAAAGTATGATATGTCGTTAGCAGAGTTCAGACGTACAGGGAGAAGAAATAAATAGTGACAAGCGTGGAGGTGAGTCTTGAGAATCAGCAAATTGGTTTTGTTGTTGTTGTTATTGTTTGTTTTACTTTTGATAAGCAAATAAAAGACAGACTCAGCACCTTGATCAGGAGGGGCTGGAACTGGGTGTGGTGGTGCATGCCTTTACTAACAGCATTAGGAAAGCAGAGACACACAGATCGTTGCAAGTTCAAAGTGGTCTACTTTTCCTTCCTGGTGGGGTGACCTCCTCTTAGAAGACAAAAATTTGGGTCTTTGTGACCAGCAGGTGGGAAACTTGTAGAGGCAGCAGGAGACAGATGCATGTGATTTTCATGAGTTGGGGGCCTAGATGAGGCAGTGATTAAAGTCTCACAGCTTGCTTCTGGAGGTGAGGAGCTATGGCTACTTACCAGTTTTTGTTGCTGAAAGTGATATCCCAGCTGTTAATTGAGCTCCATGAGGAATAAAACATGCAGAAAGATTGTTTCACCTTACCTAAATTTGACATTTTTGGGGTGTTTCTTTGTGTGCATGATACACATTCATTCTTTGTATCCCCCCATTGCCACTCCTTTTTTAAGAATAAAACCCATTTTTGAGTCCCAGGAAAGACCCCTGACTCTGTGCAACATGTCCTTGTATAACAGGTGGTGTTTCTAAGGGGTCAGAAAGACATGGTTTTAATCCTGATGGGGTGAGGTCAGGATACCCTGGCTAGATGACTCTTTTTCCAGTTAGTGACCCCCATGTACATTTATTTTCTCATCTAGAGTTAACATACAATAAATGGAATGTTTGAATTCAGAAAAAAAACAGGTTTATTTGCCTCTTCAACTTTATTTTCCCGTGTGGTATATTGGAATAGTGTGCAACTCTAATTCATAGTTGGGGAAATAAAATGGATCCAGGGATTCTATATAAGATTCTGCATAAGGCTTATGACTGCTAAAAGGCTACACTTGTTACTAATTTTGAAATTATCTAAAGAGAGTTTTGCACATAAAATTGATGATCATGCAGAGAGAATTCAGAAGATGGATACAGGAAAACGCCACGAGTCATTGGTGGATGCTAGAGAGAAAATAGCTAAGACCCTGGAGAAAGTAATTCCCAGGAGAAGGAATAAATCCCAGTCTCCAGAGCTGTGGGAGGGGCTCAGGGAGTTCAGACTGAGATAAGCCTGGTAACACAGCATTGGTAAGATGGAGAAGACGTCATCCAGGCACAGGCTAATGAAAGAAAAATCAGCCACTAAGTTTTCCACGATGCCAAGACCTTATAGAATGAAAACAATAGCACGTGTGTTTCAATAAGATTCTAGAAAAATGCATATACACTATGTCAGAGGCAGAAGAATACGAATGATTTAAAGTAACCAAGAAGGTATTTGGAAAGGCCAAAGAAACTGAGGATGCATTAGTACTCTAGGATCTCAACTTTACTGAATCCTCCACCATGCCTAGAGCCACAGGGCACCCTCTTCTTTGTAGCTTCGGTGCCTCCTCTGTAAATGAGATAGAAGAGAGGTGACCTGTGCTGACATATGCCGTTCTGAGACATCACTCTTTGAGAGGAAAACACAGCTTAAAGAGCTTAATGTGTGCAACTACATTTTTCATCAACTAAATATAGAAATGTAAAATAGGTTCATGAATTCTGAAGTAGAAAGTACAATGTTTGGTGAATCTCACTATTTCATGATTCATAATACAGACACAGAAGGTTGTACTTTGTATGCATGTAACAACAATTACTGGAAAAAGAGACCATAAATTAAAAAAAAAAAACAAGGAAAGATATGAGATGGAGGGTTAGATGGAAAAAAGGGATAGAAGAAAAGATGTAACTATATTATAACCTCAAAAAATAAAAGAAGTAATTGAAAGAATAATTCATTTGTGGATATATTATTTTTATTTTTGTCTCTTTTTCTTTTCTCTTTCTCTTTTGTTTTGTTTGTAGTTTTTTTGTTTTTCGAGACAGGGTTTTTCTAAGTAGTAGCCCTAGTTGTCCTGGAACTAGATCTGTGGACAAGGTTGACTTTGAACTCACAGAGATGCACCTGCCCCTGCCTTCCAAGTGCTCGGATTAAAGGTGTGCATCACCACTGCCTAGTTCTTTTTCTGTTTCTTTGCTCTGTAAATAAATTGAGATTTAAAAAGCAGTAGGGCATAAAGATCAAATCAATATACTTTCATAAAATAAACCATGACTACCTTGGCTATTCCTGAATGAAAAAATAAAATATATCTTGGGCTGTGGATATAGCTCAGTGGTAGAACAGCTGCTTAGTATTGCTAGACTTATATATGTGTATGTGTGTGTGTGCGCGCGCGCATGCGTGCTAGACTTATATACGTGTGTGCATATTTCTCAGTGTCATTAACAATTTCAGAACAACTGGTGTGTTGAAAAATTAACATCTTTAGGCTCAATGAAGTTTGTAAGATTTTTCACTGATATTCTTAAATGTGTCCATTTATTTGAAAACCCCATTGACTCTTCAATTAAAACATGTATGTAAGAAGGTATAAAGAACCCGTGAGGGTTTAGAGACTGTTAAATGAGACCTGGTGGTTTCTTTATAACCACGTCTCTAACATGTCAGTAAATTCTATTATTTATGGACAGGAAAGAATTCTGCATTTAGATGAGTTTGATAAATGCTTTGTACCAACATTTGAGAGCATAAACTCAGCTGACATTCATAAGTCTATGTCTTCAATTCCAGCACCTTATGAAATATGCCCAGAGGATTATCTGATATCGATGGTGTGGAAAAGAACTCCTGCAGGAGACCTGGCATTCAATCAATGTCCTCTGAATGCCACAGGTACAGTGAGAGGACCCATCCAACCCCAATAATGTTTATAGCCCTGAACTGCATGCTGTTTGCTTAGTAAGTTGTATCTCTGTCCTTGCTCTATAAATAAGTCTGTCCAATAAGCAGTTGATGGAACGCTTTTAGGAAAATGCTTTGTAAATGGAGTCGAAGAAGAGATTTCAAAAATGTTGCTGATGCGTTTCCTCCTCTCTATGACTCATGAATTACAAAAATATTCCAAACAATTTCATGTGCATGTTTCCTAAAGCAAGAAAGAAAATGCATAAACCCAGCTTGTAGTCTGCCTCCCAATGCTATGCCTTCCAGTATCCTGCGATAAAGCTTCTCTCTGTTCTTTGTGACACGCAGGCACCACTAGCAGACGCTGCTCACTCAGTCTTCATGGCGTGGCCTTCTGGGAACAGCCGAGCTTTGCAAGATGCATATCCAATGAGTACAGACACTTGCAGCATTCAGTAGGTGCAAAGCCAGCTTTAGTACTTGCTCTGTTTATTTTTTCCTAATGATCAGAATGTGAGAATTTAACCTTCTGTTGTATAATCAAATCAGTAAAAAATCTCTGAAGAAATGCCCCAAGGAAAAAGGGATGTGATAGTAAGCTGATTTCTGTGACTCTGAGCTAAACTGTTTTGTTCTTTGAGCTTGGGTTTTTATAGATCCTGGCAATTTAAGTGAAAATATTCCTCGTGTGAGGGAAGAAAGACCGGAGCAAAATCATTCTCAGTTTCACATGTAAAATTTCAACTGTGTATCAGGATTGATTCAAGTCTTCATTAAATACTGCACTATTGTTTCACAACCTGTACATCTGATAATTAAATGTCTTTTACTTTTCAGTAACTGGAGAATGACAAGGCTGTGTTACTTAGATATCAAATTTCTCATGTAGTTTAAAATATAAGGAACATGATGGTTTGTTGCACCACAGAAACTTAATTAATCACAAAAGATTATATGGCAAAATTTTCCAAAAATGGCCCTCTCCCCCCAGATACCATTGAAATATTCAAGAATGTAATATTCAAGATAGTATTCACGTTCCTGTATTTCCAGAATCTTATGAAATATGGCCAGAGGATTGCCGTTATTCAGAGGCTGCTGTCATTTCTGCCTGGCAGACATGAAGTCCTCCACACAAAGGCTAGGTGAACACTGTGGAAAATAGAAAGGAAAAAACCAGAAACCCAACACAGTGATGTTAAGAGGCCCCATGCTCTCCTGGGCTTATGTTTGCTTTTCATGTTCTCGCTGTCAATCAAAAACCACATAGTGAAAATTTTCGTGCTTGTGTGAAAATAATAGCTTAGGTAATAACTGCACCAACTAAGTAGAATTAGTACTTATTCAATTACCAGAAAAACAAAAGACTAATTTTAGAAAATCTAAAACCAAATGCAGTCACATATCAAATTGGTACTTATCAGTAATATAATTGATAATAATTTCAACACATATAGTCTTATTTCTTTCATTGTATATACAAATGTGTGTTTATATGTATACATAAATGAATTATTGGATATATGGGGCTTTATTTTATTATAAATATACATTCATATGTTACATAAATATGTACTAGCAAAATACAATTTTTTATACTTTCGACATAACAAGATAAATGTCAATTCTGTTGCTGATTTGTTATATAAAGGTATTAGATAGCATTTAGTGTAGAAATTTTTAAATGTAGACTGTGTTCATGTATATATAAATATACACGTATGCATTTATACATAATAGAAAGATATTATATATACCTTGATTTTCACACGAAATATAAGGAATAATCTGTAAAATTATTATATTCTAATAAGATCTATCACTGATTCAGATAATTGTATTTCAGAACTATAAACTGATGTAACTTAGTAAAAGCAGTGTGAGCAAGATAGATACCATGTAACAGAGCTCAGGTGGAGGGGTGTTTTATTGAGGGAAAGTGAAGGGGAAAAGGGAGAAGGGAGAAAGAGAACTATGGGAGGTACACAGGGCCCTTTTAAAGTCGAATGTAGTGAACATGCACAGGAGGGGCTCTTTGTGGCTACAGTTGAGGACATAAACTCCTAGATCAGGCCAGTACAAATGCCTGAATACTAACATTAATAACATAATTTTATGTGATTTTTCCCTAGTGTTAGATAGCCTACTTTATTTGAATTGGATTTTTTTATTTATTTTCATTTGTGTATCTTGGTTTTATTTTGTTTTGTTTGGTAATATTGAGGATTGCTTTGAGGGCTTCATATATTTTCGGCAAATATTTGCCAAAGCACTATATCACCAACTTCTTTTCTTCTTTAACGTAAGTATATCTGTATACAATTTATACAGTTCCTATCGTTTTAGTGAATAGAACAGTTGCAGGGATTAAATAAATGATAAGCCAATCCTTGCAAGTTAGTTAAGAATAATTATCACCTTTTCGTAGAAAGTTTTGCTCTCCGTGTTTAACTTTTGTGTTAAACAAAGAATGAGTTTATGTTCTTGAGTATAGGTTGTGTAATAATAGAGTGTAGATGCACTCTATGAAAGAGAAGAAATAAAATTCAAATTGTGAATTCTGTAAGAACTGCACATTAAAAAAAAGTTAATATCAATTGTTGGGAATATGCCCCTGATAAGAGAACATCAACTGTGGGTAATCCCTTCTTAGTTAATATGGGAAGTGAAGATCTTCAAGATGCAATTGACTTATGTGAGGCAAAGAACAAGAGTTACATCCCAGGTACTATTGTTCCAAGGCCCATATTCTCTAATTAAAGCCACATAACCTACTGAGCTATCGACTAGACATCATCTGATCTAGGCTACAGTGTTGTGTGCAGCACGTCATCAAGATAGTTGTATGATCACATTCGAGTCTTAGCTTGTTTTTTTACTGACTAGAAGAAGAAGCATCTTTTTAGTCTTTTGAGGTGTGTGGGAAGGGAGAATTGATGAAATACTTTATATTTCCTATTTGCAACTTATTATGAAGTCACACAAATATCGTGAATTAATATCTTTGTTGAAAGAAAACTCAAACTGAGTTTAAAAATCACCCCTCTCCAAAAATTTTTTTTTTAAAATTCATACATTGCTAACAAGCAGCACCATAGAGAAATGGCAGCTATGAGTAGATAAGGAAGGGAACTGTGAGAGGAGGGGGAAGACAAATGTCACAAGTATTTGACCCATAAATTATGACTAACTACATATATATGAGAACACACATAGGTATAAATGCATAAATATACAATCTACACATAGGAAAATATACAGACTTGGGTCTGGAGAGATGGCTCAGAGGTTAAGAGCATTGAGTTCTCTTCCAGAGGTCCTGAGTTCAATTCCCAGCAACCACATAGAGGCTCACAACCATCTGTAATGAGATCTGGTGCCCTCTTTTGGCCTGCAGGCATACATGTAGACAGAACACTGCATACATAATAAATAAATCTTTTTTTAAAATATACACAAACTTAAGATGCATATGTACACATATCATGCTTGCTTATGTATCATGACTTTCACATTTATGTGTTCCAATTGTTCCAGTTACATAAGATCATGGATCGATCTGTGTTTTATCCTTTTTTTTTTTTTCAAGACTGGGTTTCTCCATAGCTTTTGGTTCCTGTCCTGGACCTAGCTCTTGTAGACCAGGCTGGCCTTGAACTCACAGAGATCTGCCTGCCTCTACCTCCCAAGTGCTGGTATTAAGGGCTCGTGCCACCACCTTCTGGCTTGATCTGTGTTTTAAATGACACTTGTCTACAGTCATCTGCATCATGCAGAGTCTACTAAGGTCGCTGGAGATAGAAGACAAAACAAGTTCTCTAAAGAATTCCTCCTGTTGTGTCCCTGAGTTCAACTTTGAGAACCAAAGCTTAATAGTGCTTATGATATAAAACAATTGAGATTCTCACAAACTATAATTACTTTAAAGATGGCATTCTTTCCTCTGGAAGTGTTTATCACTTTCACATTTATTCTTTGATTATTTTATGCTGTTATATTCATAAAACTAATTTAATTGTAATTATTTATAATATACTGTGGGATTATTTAAATTAGGCTGATAGTTTCTAACCTTTTAATGCATACATTATAATATATGGTGCAAACACATGTAGATAGTGTATGCATATAATGGCTTCATAAATAAACAAACAAAGGTTAATTTTGAAAAGAAATTTTATCATCTATAAATAATACTTAGTATGTTCCAATTATATCAATATATTAATTATATTTAAGTTACTATGGAAGAAATTGAGTAATTAATCAGTTTAAAATATAAAATTGTTGATCGATCATGCTGCACAATTAGTTGGAGTTATTTGAAGGTAAATGCCATGTTATTTTAGTTTCCTTTTCCTAATGTGGAGCACAATGCTGAGAACAGATATTATAAATAGTGCAAGAATGCTTATTTTCTTATTAACAGCAATCTACTGGCAGTCGGAAAGTTCAGATATGTCCATTTCATTCGTGGTTTTTAATCCTTCGAAAACAATGCATATTGCTGTACAGATGCAGTTTTTCTAGTCCAATAATTTGTATAAATATGGAGTAATTGCAGAAATATCACTTTATGGACTTTTTTAGTCAATACAGAACAACTTTTGTGAAGTTTGCCTGTATACCCTATGAAATATAAAGTTAAACCCAATCATCAAAATGCTATTGTTTTCTTAAACTTCATAGCCACACATACATACTCTGCTTTTTCTTTTTCAATCTCCTTTCCTTACAACACACACACACATACACACACACACACACACACACACACACACACACACACATACATACAGAGAGACACACACACACCTCTAAAGAAACAGGCATTATAGATATGTCAGAATAAATGTTGCTGCAAAAGAGCATATCTTAAAGCAAAGGGAATGGACACAAGCTTACCAAGGATTTTAACATGCTTACCTGGGACTTTTCCTAAATTCATCAGGAGATAAGTCACTCGCTTTTCTGTGGAGAGAGTGAACGATGGCATGAAAGACTGGAAATGGCTAACAATTTTATCCTGGTGAAAGGCCCTCTATACAGAAATCAAAGTTATAGGTATAAATTTTCTCTTTTAGAAGTCTGATCCTGAATTCTCTGGTCCTATTTTTTACAATGTCATGCTAGCAGACCAACTTTGAAGGAATACTTTATCTGGTCATTGAAAGTTTGACATCCTGCCAAGAGATGTCAAAGAGTTTGAGTCTTGATGTAAGGATGTTTAAAGAGAGCTATAGAGCTAGAGATGAAAAGAGACAGAGAAACCAAGAGATGGGGCAAGGATATACAGAGAAAGAAATTGAGATAGGCTTGTTTATTTTGCCCTCACGTTCTCTATCTACAGTTAAATTTTTCTCCATTGTCACAGCACGTGCACACACACACACACACACACACACACACACACACTCACACACTACAAAGTTACTTTGTGGATTCTACTTCATTT